ATGAAACTTGTCATGCGAGAGTATAAAATGTTCGGTGACACCCAAACATAGCCCTTCCTTACTTATTTATCAAAGGAGTTAGCCGACACCACTTTTGTATACTTTAATTTGTCAATAATTAAAAAAATATACATTTGCCCTTAACTATTTTATATTGCATTAATATTTGAAAAATGTACTATACACTTATACTTTATTATTAAGTTTAAGTTTTTTATGTCTTTGCTTTTATAGAATTAAAATTCAAACTGTTGCCGCAAAGGGAGAGACTGAACCGGAACGCAAGGAAACGCGGGGTAAAGTAGATGAAGATCGCAAACATGAAATTGAAGCAGCTATTGTTCGTATAATGAAAGCAAGAAAACGTTTACCGGTAAGAAAATTAATGTACATACATATTCCTTAATATTGACAAATACTATACCTATTACTTAAATTGTCATTGCAGCACAACTTGCTTGTATCTGATGTAACATCACAATTGAAATCGCGGTTCTTACCGTCTCCTGTTTTTATCAAAAAACGAATAGAGGGCCTTATCGAAAGAGAATATTTGGCCAGGACGCCCGAGGATCGAAAAGTTTATATATATTTGGCCTAAACACTCACCTAGCTTTACTCTAAAAAAAAACGAAAATAGAGACGTGAATAGTAAAAAGGGTCTTAAGTAAAGAAATAGGTACTTTGTTGTATTGTTGCATCATCTCCATATAGCATATGATATTGCAATAGATATATTTACAGCTAACTTTTTCGACATTTCTAATTTCCGGAATAGTTTCGTGTTTGTACGCTAAAATTTCAATCCAAACATTTAATTTTGCTCTTCAGTTACATATATTATTGATTTTTGTTTTGCGTAATCCCAGTCTCTAAAAAAAATTCACATAGTTTTTTTAACTTCCTAATAGAAGAAAAACATTAACAACAGAATACAAATTACTTATTACAAAAGTTGATTGGGTTTTAATGCAAATATCACAACTTTGTCGTCGTTTGGTGTGACTGATCTCGGTGATAGTCATTTTTGTTCAAATCTGAACGCGATGACATTTAATTATAAATTAAAATGTACTCTTTACTTCTTAATTTGCAAATAAGATATTATGGGTGGGCAACGCATTGTTACGAGATCAATTACGAACTTCACCTATGCGATGATAACAATATCAATAAGAACAAATGAACAACCAAATGTATGAAATCAAATGTTAGAAGTTCAGAAAGTCCATAAACTTCATTTAATTTGGTGACTTTTTATTTGGTAATGTTTAAAATATAATGAAAGGTATTGATGAAAATAAAATCTACTCAGACCCAAATAAACTAGCTTAGGGTTTTATTTCTTTTCGCTTATTTCTCTTTTTTATACTATTGGTTTTAAATGTGTTGCATTATTTACTTCGATATGGAAAATATGACTTAGTTGAAATGTGAAATAATTGAAAAATGATACACTAAAATATAATTAAGACAGTATATTTTAATATTGTTGTTTTAATCTTACTAGAAAAGAAGAGAATATTTCTTCCTTCGGAAAAAGTAGACGTTAAAAGAATGCAGTCGTATCATATTAATATTTAGGAAAAAAAAATACATATGTATGTAATTGTGGTCTGTCATACCGTGGGTTGGTATGGATACTTGGTCGTCACAAAACTTTGTCAGTGTCCTCTATTATTTGCATGATGCCAGTTGTACATCCTAAATACAAACAGCTCCCTATTCAATTATTCACCCTTCCTTCAGATTTCCATCGTTGCTCACACACCTTGTGGAGAACTGTACTCTCGCATGCTTGGATATTTCTATAATTATAAACCTTAAAATTATAGTGCTGTTACGATGGGTCGCATAGTTCAATCACTCTATTGGGAACAACAATTTTAATGAGATGACTTCTGAAAAAAAAAATTGAAAAATTGCAGAATCTCTTAACTCTTCACCGTTATACATTTTGATGATTAGCTAGGTTCATATGATAAGTATAATATAAAATAGCAGAGATTTGTAAAATGTATGTGACTTTACTTCCGTTAGGATTTCTCGTGAAGGTAAGATAAATTCCATTTATTTTAGAAAGAAATAAGSTTAGGACGTTCAAAATAATTCTTATACAGGAAGTAGGGTTTGAGCATTTGCTTYTTCGCTAATTTTAAGACGGTATGAAGATGACATTTACATAATTTCTAATTTTAACAAGTAATATTATTTTAACATATAATTTTAATCTGTTCAAAAGCAGCGGTAACTACTACTAAGATGTAAATATGTAAGAGCAAAGATATCTTTTTACTTATACGGGTGAGCGTATAAATGTTCAAATTAGAAGACTAGAGAGGCATGTTACATAATAGGTTATCATTACTAAATGTGTGGATAATATGTGTTTAAATTTATTAATGGAATTACTGTTACTTGATTGAATGAAAAACATTTACATTTAATTGACAAAAATAAATAATTAAATAAATATCATGCATACGAATACTCTACCGCGACGATCATCTTAATGATGATGGTGGTAACCAGAAACCATCAGTTTTGTCTGATATACGATTTGATGCATTTTTTTGCTACATTTCAAAATTTTCTACAACTAATCATATGMATTGTATATGCCCACAAAATTTTTTCAAATTAAAAAATYTTAAATTTAATTTTCAAACAATTACAATTTTGATTCAATTATATAAGGTTGTTTGATACGTAGCGTATTTCTTCTTACTGAAAGAGTGTTTGTTTCCTTCTTTATTAGTGTAGGCACTCTTTACGTGATTATAGGCGAGTTTACAAAAGCGCGAAAATCATTTTTCCTCTTCGCTGTTTGGCGCCAAATGGAGATTCCAAGTGTAGCCAGGTCCTTCTTTGCCTGGTATTTCCAACGGAGTGAAGGTCTTCCTCTGTCTCTGCTTCCCCCGGCAGTTAGTGCGTCGAATACTTTCGAGAGCGTTTTCATCATCCGCTGTCTGTTAATTCGTTGAGCTATTCAAATGTCGTTCATCGTTTCATCGAATGTATGCCGTTGGCAATGCGCAAAGGGCCATAAATCTTCCGCAGGGTGACTTATAGAACTTGGTCGAGAGAAGAGCTACTTAGTCGGTAGCATCTGTTGGCGAGAGTGATTTTGCGGTGGATTTCGAGGATGACATCGTTGTTGGTGTTAATATTGGTTCAAAGATAGACGAAATTATCAACAACTTCGAAGTTATTACTGTCAACAGTCAAGTGGGCGTCAAGTCGTGAGTGCGGCGACTGTTTGTTTGATGACAGTAGATATTTCATCTTGTCTTCGTTCACAACTAGACCCGTAAGGCAGAACTAACGGCATCGGCTAAAGCCAGCAGCTGTACACTCTTATAGAAGATTGTAACTGCTGGATTTATCTCTGCAGGTCAAATTATTTTCTCCAGCAGCAGAGTAAAGATGTCGAATGTAGGGAGTGCTTTTGTCTGAAACCTCGTTTGGTATCGAACGTCTCGGAGAGGTTCTTCCAGATTCTCAACGTCAGTTTACACAGTCACACTAGTTTTGCTAGGATACCAAATTCTGACAGAGCGGCATAAAGGTAAGTCGTGCTAGATAGAACCTTATACGCGTTGTTAAGGAGGCTTATCCTACGGTATTTGGCGCAGATTCTGTGGTCTCCTTTTTTGTGGACTGGGCAGAGCACACTTAAATTCCAATGTTGTTGTTGTTGTAACGGCAGAGTTCTGCCGAKTTGACAGTCCTTGGCCGGATAAAAATCCGGGTCCGTTCCGGTTTCCGTAGATCCGACTGTCGTGGGAACGGACTTAAWYTCCAATCGTAGGGCATGMTTTCGTCCGACCATATTCTACAAAGAAGCTGATGCATCCTCCTTATCAGTTCTTCGACGCCGTATTTGAATAGCGCGGTCGGCAATTCAATTGGCACCCGCCGCATTGTTGTTTTTTACACTCGAACTTTATCATGGTGGGGCGATGGAACGTCTGCTCCATCGTCATCGATTGGGGAAACGGGTTCGCCTTCTCCTGGCATTATAMCTTCACTTTTATTCAGCTGGTTGAAGAAGTGGTGTGTCCATAATTGTAGTATGTTCTGGGCATCAGTCACCAGATCCTCTCTGTTAGTTCTACAAGAGCATGCTCCGGTCTTGAAATTTTCTGTTAGTTGCCGCATCTTTTTGTAGGATTTTCGAGCATTGCCTAGCGAGCTAGCCGGCAGCTTGCCCAGCTCTTTGTACTCACGCATTGCGGCTTCTCTGCAAATGCGTCTCGCTTCTTTCTTCAACTCTCGGTATCCATCACATTTCGCACGCGCTGTGGTCGATTGTAACGTTGCGATGCAGGCAGTCTGTTTTATCTCCGCTGCGACTCGGCTGATCTTTTGCATTTTCCGAAAACAAATAGTGCATGCCGTATATTTCGGGCAAAGTCGGTCAGTCTTAACCCCTTTCTGAATGTTTCCGCGTGTTGGCTTAATTTGCGAACAGTTGTGCCAAAGATACCTTCTTTGTCCACCCTGGCGTTAAAGTCTCAAAGGTGCGCTCCAAGCGCTCATCTTCCGTCGGAGCGTAGRCGCAAATCAGCGATATGTTGAAGAACTTCGCTTTGATGCCGATTGTGGCTTTAAGTTCATCTACCGGAGTGAATGACAGTAGGACAAGGACCTACTCCCCTCAGTCCTTGTCCCGTCCATTGCATTTGAATGGTGATCAGAGAAATTTTCTCACTTGAGTGAACTTCTGCACATGACTCCATCCTCCATATATACTATCCAAATTTTCTACAATACTTTACAATAAAATGAATATTACCTATGCGTTCAAGATTCGTAAGTAAATGCAATAGTGAATTTATAACAATCATGTGAGTGAGCCGCTTGTGCGAACGGACTGACAAATAACCGGATTTCAAATTTTCTCGTAATCCCGACCACTAAAGATATAATTATTTAATCAATTTGAGGACTATAAGCAAACCACAGGAGACTACTTAAATAAACTCTGTGCAACATGTTGCGTTTGATCACGTAAGTACCCTGCAGTGTAACTAGGGCCACCGAAGGAAAAACCGTTCTTAGGTTCCATTCCTTTAGGAACTTGATTAACTATCATCCCACTTACTGTTTCAATGTTTTTGAAAAATAAGTCAAATAAGCCTTCTTGCAAATGTTCATGTCGTAGGAGAGAGAGGTCGCTCTAAGTTTGTAGTGCTCTATGTGTTTAGCACATTATGCATTATCTTCAAACTTATACCATGTTCAGATCGACAATTAATCTCTAGATTTCGGCTGTTGAATAGTTTATCTCACTAATCTTATAAATTTAAGCAGTCTCTAGTCACTATTTGAGGAATTTTGAGGTAAAGTGTCAATTTGTGACTAGTTCTCTAAACAGTCTCTAGCGTTAGTCTCGCATTTGTGACCTGATAGATAGCAGGTCACAAAATTAAAAAGAACTTTTTTTTGCCATTTTGAATATACTGAATAGAGATCATCAAAGATATTAATCGATTGTCSTTTTTTATATTTTATATCAAACACGAAAAGGTTAAAAGCAAATAAATTTTACACAAATTTCGTAAACATTATTAACGTTATTTTTTGGCTATGGTATAAAAAATGTAATAATTGTTATCGACATCAATATGTCRTTTATATTTCATTCAAGTGTAAAGCATCYTTGAATAATGAAATGTAATAAAACCAACCAGAAACTAAAACGAGCTCATGGTTGCAATTTGGAATATACTGAATRTACATTTTCTTCTTCTTAATTGGCGTAGATACCACTTACGCGATTATAGCAGAGTTAACAACAGCGCGCCAGTCGTTTCTTCTTTTCACTACGTGGCGCCAATTGGATATTCCAAGCGTAGCAAGGTCCTTCTTCACTCTCCCCCGTTGGGTACAGAGTCGAATACTTTTAGAGCTGGAGAGTCTTCGTCCATTCGGACAACATGACCTAGCTAGCTGCCGCTGTCTCTTAATTCGCTGAACTATGTCAGTGTCGTCATATATCTCATACAGCTCATCGTTCCATCKAATGCGATATTCRCCGTGACCAACGCGCAAAGGACCATAAATCTTTYGCAGAACTTTTCTCTCGAAAACTCGCAATGTCGACTCATCAGTTGTCCAATCCTCTACACCATATAGCAGGACGGGAATTATAAGTGACTTATAGAGTTTTGTTTTTGTTTGTCGAGAGAGGACTTTGCTTCTCAATTGTCTACTCAGTCCGAACTAGCACCTGTTGGCAAGAGGGGATTTTATTTCCAGGCTGACTTTGTTGGCGGTGTTTACGCTGGTTCCAAGATAGACGAAATTTGATTTGATGATTTGAGGTTTCAAAGTTATGACTGTCAACAGTGACGTGAGTGCGAAGTCGCGAGTGCGACGACTGTATGTTTGATGTTGTACCAGCTGTTCTATTGCACTTTCCGAAAACCAATGGTTTCGGTTGCAGCTGTACGTAATTAGTTTGAAATGCCGTCGTACAGTT